TTTCACATATAGAAAGCATTAGAGTTTTCATAAAGAGAGGTTCCTGCATAATTTGGTTCAAAGTTCCTTGTGAATTGCAGTGCTTCTTTCACAAGGAGGGGAGTCGTTGTATCCTGGGAGGCGAACGCTAGTGAACCATAAGCACCAGTGTGGGGCGTAATTCGTCTTAAGGTCAGAGTGTCCAACACTTGCCTCGACTCAATTAAGGTTCTTCTAATTCAATTCTCCTTTTGTAAAAATCTGTTTTATGTGCAGTATTTATTTTATAGCAATTTAGCACTCATATTTCCAACAATCTTAAGACGAATTATATGTGTTAATTGCTATATACATTAATCTGTGTTTAATTGCCATATACATTAATTTGTGTTTATGCATTTAAATGTTAACGTTGCAAAGATTTGATTTTGGAACAAACAGAAAAACATCTTTTAATGAGTTGTTTATTCTATTGAATTGGTTTCCTGTTAGTTTCTTTTGTTTTATACAATTCAAAGTTAAACAAATCTAAATAATCGGGACCATTCAATAAAGTCTGCCACAAACACTGATTGCCTTCTGTTTCTGTTGTTAAGAAAAAGGTGCAAAACAGTTTGCATATGTAGTCTGCACCCCTGTACGGAATTTATGTATATTGGCATCACTGATTTTGAATATAATGCATATAACAGTTTTAGTGCATCGTTGACTTGAGATTAAATTAGTTGCTTATATCGAATTCCTAGTTTAATTTCAACTCCATCTTTTGAATGAATACGCTGTCGCTGTTTACTGCACTCTAATTTTAAGTTGTTTCATATTGTGACTCTTGGATATGTCATAATCAATTAAGAGTTGTCATGGCCAGTGTATATATTTGTGACAGTTCCATGCATTGGAACAGACTAAAAGTTGCTATGATATTCGCCATGACGAATTGCAGACCAAACTAAGTGGTTTCGAGTTCCACTGTCATTATGCAGATTTGGATGCCTTCAAGGTACTGTTAAGAAATCATTTGATGTTTTCTGTCATCAACGGGTCTTAAGGCTATGAAGATGTCCATCGGTAACACAAAACCAGATTTTAGGTTGAGTCGGTGTTTGTTAGAAAATTTGATACTTAGATATTAAGTTTTCTAAATTAAAGGAAAGTGGACATCAAAATCTGGAAGTTTTGCTGTGTTAGGCAAAACAAAATTTTGTGAAGGCAACCCATTTTATGACAAAACATATATTCTATGATTTTGTATAGAATATTAGGTTCATGCAATGTGCTGGGGCTGTTGGAGATATACTACCTATAGAATGAGATGCATATGTACAAAGGGTACCAAAGCCTTACCCTATGTATAAATTGATGTGCACTTTATAAAGAAAAATTAGTTTTATAATGATTTGCTTTAATCAATTAATGAGGGTATGGTAACTAGAACATGTTAATTATGTTATAAACATGGTTCTATTACTAATGCAACATTGAATTGATTTAAAGGAAGTTATAAACTAATACTATAGAATATTATCTCATTCTTTAGAATAAAGTAAAAGTTTTCTCCTTCTTAGGCATATGAAAAAATGATTAACAGATTGCTTAATACCTTCCACAATTATGTGAAAATTGTGGGGCTGACAGGCATGAAGGAAAATTTGGAATTCTATTTCCTCACAAAGAAAATAGAAGTTTTCTAGATTAGTTCATAAGCACCACGTTTTGTGGAGAGAGGCTTTGATGTTCATAAGAGTTTAAATTTCTCTTATACAAGGTATGAGAAGGTTAGAAACCTTCCTATAAGTACCACAAATGTGGGGGTGTCTAACCGAGTATTAGAAGGTTACTCAGTTGACACAATTATTAAGTCTTAACAAAATAAATTAAAACTACTCTTGAATGTAATTTATTTCCATATATGAATTCATTATGGCAAAATATTACAGAAATAGTCAACCTAGTGGATCCAATATTTAAATGTCAGACTAAAGAGTTAGTTGATCATCGAGGGGAATGGGAGTATAAGCCTAAATATTTAAAGTCTCCATAGTGGATACCCAACCTAGCTGACTGGAGATCCCAAGATCTAGGTTCAAAAGGGACAACCAAATTATGGATGACTAAGTAGTAGCACTGCCGAGATTACATCTTTTACCCATGTCCTATGATGAAACAGTGAAACAGTGCTGCATGTAGCGTGTTTTAGGGTAATATTTGATTTTAATGATTCCTATAGCTTGGAAATCCAAGTGGGGTAGTGCAGGATACTCTTGGGTTTACACAAACGGCTGAACAGTTCAAGACATCACGTTCACTGATTAGCCAAGTAAATCCGATAGTATTTCACTATGGAAGGTTCAAGGCCAAAAGCTACTTATCCAGATGCAGTATTCTTCTAATAGGAACTCTCTCTAGTGTCTTCATTTTTTGTTTGCATATTGTTGAGTCAATTTCCATTCATGTGGGGGATTGTTGGAAAATTTAATATTAACTAATATTGATTTTCCTATTTGAATGGAAATTAATAAAATCCATTGGGTTAAAGACATGACCCTTGGGTTAAAGACATCTTCACATGAGGGGTGACACCTCTTCAAACCAAGGGATGCATTGTTTGGGGTGACAACTATTCAAACCAAGGGATGCATTATTTACCTTTTCAGATAGGGATACCTTTTTGGAAAGGGTATTTCATCATCTATAAATAGAGCAATCCTCCTGCAGTTTTAAAAATTCAGTTTAATTCTCTACATACAGACTTTCACATATAGAAAACATTAGAGTTTTCATAAAGAGAGGTTCTTGCATAATTTGGTTCAAAGTTCCTTGTGAATTGCAGTGCTTCTTTCACAAGGAGGGGAGTTGTTGTATCCTGGGAGGCGAACGCTAGTGAACCATAAGCACCAGTGTGGGGCGTAATTCGTCTTAAGGTCAGAGTGTCCAACACTTGCCTCGACTCAATTAAGGTTCTTCTAATTCAATTCTCCTTTCGTAAAAATCTGTTTTATGCGCAGTATTTATTTTATAGCAATTTAGCACTCATATTTCTAACAAGTTCCCCATAAAATAAAACTAAAACAGAAATTTAGAACTAGAAGAATTGGAGAAAGGAGAGAGAGCTCAAGAGAAGATTGTGAGCTTGGTGTGTGTTTTGAAGCTTGAAGACTTCTCTACTTATAAGGCTAAGAGGGAGAAACATCATGATAAATTCCAACACCACCATTCCTATCTTAATGCAATACCTAACTCCGACTTCATCTTGTCTATGTTGGTGTGTTTGCCCATAATTCCATTGTTGAATTGTTTTCTCTTTTTCTTTTTCTCGCTTCTCAAGCACATCGAGTGCTCACTGATAGGATTGTGTTTTTTTAAAATTTACATAGTGGGTGGGAAAATAGGACAGTGGGTGGAAAGAGCAACATCCTACAAATGTAGCCTACAAAACAATGTACATCTAACATCAATCATAGTATATATCAACTTCTAAGCAAATAATTACCCAATTAACACACATAATTAATGATCTTTTCTAAGCTAATCATCTTATATTTCCACTTGGTTGTAATTGGGTCTACATTTTTCTCTTTGTTGAATTATTGATTACTTTTAAGATGAGATGAGATGAATCCCAAATTGGGCTAAATAAGCCTGCGAGTTAATTAAGGTTACCTACAGGTACAAATACAAAGCATATATCCAGAATTTGCTATGTCTTTTAGCTTTAATAAAATATCTTATTAATTAATTAATCAATTAATTAGGTCGAGCCAAAATTGTCAAGGCATGGAGATCGGAGTGGGAGGTGGCTTGAAAAATTTCTCACTCCAAATGGAAAATCTATATTATAAGGACGCTTTCTAGTCTTAGTGTTGAAGCTGTTAGGTCTCCTAGTTTTTAAGGATTTATTTTAAGTAATGGTGAATAATCTCTATTCTTCCTCTGTTGCATTATTTTTTTAAGACGTAGTCATATACCACGATCCTAGGGATGTAAATCGTGGGCTGTCATTTCTCTTTCAGTTTACTTTGTAAGCTATTATATAGCGACTAAAACTCTTTGAATTCAATAAGAAAGTTATCCCTGCATTCGAGTGTTATCAAGCTATTGTTTTGCAAGTTCTTTGTCGTTCTTCTGGATTCTAACATTTGGTATCAGAGCCCCACCACGGGGCCTAACTAAAAAGTCTGAAACATGAGTGTGAAGAAGCTTAGACATGGCAACTGAGAACAGTTTTGTGCAACCTGCTATTCCAAGGTTTGATGGGCACTACGATCACTGGAGCATGTTATGGAGAACTTCCTGCGGTCCAAGGAGTATTGGAGCCTGGTGGAAATTGGGATTCCTACAGCGGCAGAAGGAACGGATCTCACTGAAGCACAGAAGAAAACAATTGATGATCAAAAGCTGAAGGACTTGAAGTCGAAAAACTATTTGTTCCAAGCCATTGACCGATCAATTTTGGAGACAATCTTGAAGAAGGATTCTGCAAAAGATATTTGGGATTCGTTGAAGCAAAAGTATCAAGGCACAGCACAAGTTAAACGTGCACAATTGCAACCTCTTCGCAAAGAGTTTGAGATGCTTCACATGAAGGATGGAGAATTAGTGAATAAGTACTTTGGAAGAACTCTCATCACAGCCAACAAGATGAGAATTCGTGGAGAAAGAATGGAAGACGTGATAATCATTGAAAAGATCCTGCGATCCATGACTCCGAAGTATGATTATGTTGTGTGCTCCATTGAGGAGTCGAAGGATTTGGATTCTTTGTCCATCGATGAACTTCAAAGCAGCCTCTTGGTGCATGAACAACGGATAAGCCGACATACTATGGATGAACAAACATTGCAAGTCACTCACGAAAGAGGTGGAGGTCGCAATGCTTACCGTGGAGAGGTAGATGAAGGGGTAGGTTTGGTTACAATAAATCTACCATAGAATGTGATAAGCCTATATTTTATATATGTTTTATGCCTCCTTTACTTATTTATTTGTTAATGTCCTTGGATTAAATTGGTTGTTTTAATTGGTTTTGTGAGATTTGTGAAGGAATTGTGGAAATAGGAGAAAGTGTGCTAAAAAGGGCAAGAAGATGAAGATTGGAGATTAATCAAGTCAAACAAGGAGAAATAAAGAAGACCTTATTTTAGAAGGAATCCTATTTTTATAACAATTGTAATTATACCTTAGGTAGGATTTCTAGGAGTTGTATAAATAGGAAGCTTAGGTCATTGTTCAAAGGACCGACCACCGATCACCACCGACCACCGACCACTGACCACCCATCACCCATCATCCTCCATATCCATACTCATAGCCTAAATATCCAAAGGAGAATACGAAGAAAGCTTGCGCAACGTTGTCATTCTACTTGGAGAATTTGGTGTCTTCCATGTCTTCATCAACCATCATGATTCTCAATAAGTCCTTCATGAACTAATTTCTTTTACTAGGGCTACAATGTAGCCTAGCTATGAATACTCAAATTCTTTGATATTGTTAATTTTATTTATCTATACATGTTGAGTGCTTGTTACCGTTCTTAATGCTTTCAATTAATTGGCCACTAATTGCATGATTGGAAGAATTAGGTTGAGACCGGAAGGAGATTCCTAGTAAATAGCTTCTTGTAACAAGTACCATAAATTACATAGCCGACTCGGAAGACTAGGTTATGGTTTGTGTAATCTTTATTGTTTTCCACAAATCTTAATGGGTTCTTAGCTATCTAAATCCATAACTAGGAATAGAGTGGGTTGACTGTAAGGAATACAACTGATATAACTCGGAAGAGAGTATTGATGGGGTAAGGGAAAACGATTATCAACATGTTAGGTAATTAGAATTAACAAGCTAGAAGGATTTGGGTGGGATTAGCTAGGTGAAATCGGTGCCCTAGTGCTTTATCATCTTTGTTTTCATCTTTTACATTATTTCCTTAATCTCAATTTATTTTGCTTGCTTGATTAGATTTTAATCATCATAATTTTCTTTTCGTTTAATTCAATTATAATTAGAAATAAATCACTCTAGTATTTAATAGATTACTTGATCCTTGTTGGAACGATACTCTACTTACTAGTATATTAATTTGAGCGATATTGTCCACTTGCAATTAATCACATCAGAAAGTTACAACTGTCATGAGCTTTGGCACTTTTAGTGGGAGTGCCCCAAGAAAGAAAAAGATTATAGGGCAAACTTTGCATAGACAAGTGAAGAGATGCTGCTGATGGCATATGTGGATGTCGACAAGTCTGATAGAGATCATATTTGGTTCCTGGATTCGGGTTGCAGCAACCATATGTGCTACAAAAGGGAAATATTTTCTGATTTGGACAGCAACTTTAGGGAATCCGTGAAGCTGGGGAATGATTCAAGTCTCATTGTGCTAGGGAAGGGTAATATTCGAATTGAGGTAAATGGGATTGTGCAAATAATCATTGGAGTTTTCTATGTTCCAGAGTTAACAGAATAACCTACTGAGCATTGCCCAGCTGCAAGAAAAGGGCCTTGCTGTGCTCATGCAACAAGGAAAATGCAAGATCTTTCATCCGGAGAAAGGCCTAATCATGGAGACTGAGATGTCATGCAATCGAATGATCACTATACTCGCACGATGCTCACCAAAGGAGCAAAGGTGTTTTTCGTCTATGACTACTGACCAATCTCAACTGTGGCATTGTTGATACGGACATCTTAGTTGGAATGGTCTCAAAGTTCTCCAAGAAAAAAATATGGTTAAGGGGCTGCCTCAGTTCAAAGCTCCAGAAAATGTATGTGAAAATTGCTTGGTAGGAAGACAAGCTCGAGACCCATTTCCAAAAGAAAGCACATGGAGGGCTTCTGCGACTCTTCAATTGGTGCTTGCAGACATATATGGACCAGTAAATCCCATCTCATCCAGCAAGAAAAGGTATTTCATCACCTTCATCGATGATTTTAGTAGAAAAACTTGGGTATATTTTTTGATTGAAAAGTCAGAAGCATTCGTTTCCTTTAAGTACTATAAAGCTAGGGTTGAAAAGGAAATTGGGATGTTCATTAGAAGTCTTCGCACTGATCGTGGAGGTGAATTTACATCACAAGAGTTTCTTAATTTCTGTATAGTCAATGGGATTCAAAGACAATTGACAGCTGCGTACACTTCCCAACAAAATGGGATGGCGGAAAGGAAAAATCGAACTATTATGAACATGGTTCGAAGCATGCTTGCTGAGAAGAAAATTCCAAAGCTTTTCTGGCCTGAGGTAGTAAATTGGACTGTGCATGTTCTAAATAGAAGTCCGACATTTGCTGTAAAGAACAAAACTCCTGAAGAAGCTTGGAGTGGATATAAACCATCTGTAGATCACTTCAGAATTTTTGGATGCATATCTCATGTGCATGTACTTGACAGCATGAGAATCAAACTTGATGACAAGAGCCTCAAATGTATATTTTTTGGGTGTAAGTGAAGAGTCTAAAGCTTGTAGGCTATTTGATCCTGTTTCTCAGAAGGTTATCGTGAGCCGAGAAGTGGTTTTTAACGAGAATCAAAGTTGGAATTGGGATGAAAGTCATGAGAAGGCAATCTTGGCTGATCTTGAATGGAAACCAGAAGAGGAAGAAGGTACAAAAAAGAGTAATAGTGAAGATGAATCTACAGTGAGCGTTGTTGAAGAAACTCTTGGGGATGAAGGAGTAATTGAAGGCGATGTAGCAGACACTGTTCCTTCTACTATGTTGGAGAGTGGAAGCCCACCCCGTGAAGCTCGAATAAAAAGACCACCAGGATGGATGAGGGATTATGTGAGTGGTGAAGGACTCTTGGAGGAGGACAACGTGGACGTAAACTTGGCTCACTTGGCATTATTCATAGATGTTGATCCTATTTCCTATGAAGAGGCTGCGAAAAGTAAAATATGGAGGCAAGCAATGGATGCATAAATTCAAGCAATTGAAAGGAATGATACATGGGAACTGACCGAGCTACTACTTAGAGGAAAAACAATTGGCGTGAAATGGGTTTTTAGAACAAAACTCAATGAGAATGGCGAAGTGGATAAGTACAAGGCTCAGCTAGTCGCAAAAGGGTACAGCCAACAGTACGGAGTCGACTATGTTGAAGTGTTTGCACCTGTGGCTCGCTTGGACACCATACGAGTTGTGCTTTCACTTGCTGGACAGAAAACTTGGATGGTCTATCAGTTAGACGTCAAATCTGCCTTTCTACATGGAGAGTTAAATGAGGAGGTGTTTGTTGCACAGCCACATGGGTATGAACAGCAAGGGCACGAGCAAAAGGTGTACAGGCTTGAAAAGGCTTTATGCGGTCTTAAGCAAGCTCCTTGAGCTTGGTATAGTTGTATAGAGTCGTATTTCATATGATAAGGGTTCAAGAAGTGTCCATATGAGCATACTTTGTTCACCAAAACAAAGAACGGAGGTATGTTAATTGTTTGTCTCTACGTTGATGATCTTATATTCACTGCGAATGATGAAAGTATGTTGAAAGAGTTCAAACAATCTATGATGATCGAATTTGATATGACTGATCCTGGGAAAATGAGTTATTTTCTTGGCATTGAAGTATTGCAAAAGACAGATGGTATTTTCATTAGCCAACGAAAATATGCTCAGGAAGTATTGAAAAGATTTAATATGGATCAGTGCAATCCGGTGCAAAATCCAATGGTTCTTGGTTTCAAGCTCATGAAGGATGAAGATGGAGTGAGAATTGATAGCACACTCTACAAGCAGATGGTGGGGAGTCTCATGCGCCACGCGTCCTGACTTGATGTTTATAGTGAGTTTAATCAGCAGGTACATGGAACGTCCCATTAAAATTCACTTGCAAACAACAAAAAGGGTGCTACGGTACTTGAAGGGAACACTCAGTTTTGGTGTGTTTTACAAGAAGGGAGGAAAAGGAGAACTAGTAGGCTACACAGATAGCGACTATGCAGGAGATGAAGATGACAGAAGAAGCACGTCTGGTTATATGTTCGTGATGGGCTCGGGAGCAATATCTTGGTCATCGAGAAAGCAACCTGTGGTTTCTCTCTCTACAACTGAAGCAGAGTTCATTTCTACAGCCTCAAGCGCTTGTCAAGCAGTGTAGATGAGGAGGATTTTGCAAGAACTTAAACATGTTCAACACAAGGCTATAGTGGTGTATTGTGATAATTTTTCTGCAATTAAAATTTCCAGGAATCCAGTGATGCATGGTCATAGTAAGCATATTGACATTCAATTTCATTTTCTTCGTGATCTTATCAAGGAAGGAGTTGTGGATTTGGTTCAATGCTCTTCCCATGAGCAAGTTGCTGATATTCTAACAAAAACACTAAAGCTCGATCTGTTCACAAGGTTGCGTGGGCTGATGGGAGTCATCTCATATCCAGGTGTAAACTGATTACTTACAATATTCAGTTTAAGGGAGGATGTTGAAGCTGTTAGGTCTCCTATTTTTTTAGGATTTGTTTTAAGTAATGGTGAATAATCCCCATTCTTGAGGGACACGTCTGTTGCATTATTTGTTTAAGACTTAGTCATATACCACGATCCTAGGGATGTAAATCGTGGGCTGTTATTTCTCTTTCTTACTTTGTAAGTTATTATATATCGACTGAAACTCTTTGAATTCAATAAGAAAGTTCTCCCTGCATTTGAGTGTTATCAAGCTATTGTTTTGCAAGTTCTTTGTCGTTCTTCTTGATTCTAACACTTAGAGCATCCACAGTGGGAGGGTGTATATGATGTATGTTAAATATACACTCCGAGTCACCGGAATCGTCTCCAATGGGGAGATGTAAATGGATGTAAATATATATCACCACCACGGGGATGTAAAATAAAATGTATATTTACATATATTTTTACATCCCTTGCAGGCGGGACCCACCTGAGAAAAGAGAAGAAAAATTAAGAAAAGTCAACATAAAAGGCTAGGACCC